GCCTGTAGTCTCCATTGTAGTTCTTTTTTTGGTTTAACCAATTATATATTAAGGGTTTTATAAGGTATCCCCAAAAAGGAACTACAATGGAGACTATAGGTACCCTACGGACCCTAAACTATGGGAATTATGGTATAGTCCATATTGTGGGTAATGCAGGATTTATATCAACCACCGAAGTAACCCCCTACACAAGCCGGCATCGTAGCTCTGTAGTAACCCTTAACTACAGAACCCTTACAATAGCAACCCATGGCATCCAACCTTTGTGCCCGAAACATCCTGCAGACCTGCCCTGGGACTTATAGCTAGAGGAGGGTTTTGGGGTAGGGTTTAGGGTTCATGGTAGGCAGTCCTGAGGTAAACGATTCCAAACCTCAAGAGGTGTGACCTGCCGCCTTCCTCCTCCTCCTCCTCATAGCATCATCATCATCATCATCATGTCACTGCTGATGTGCGAAAATGAGGAGTGAAAGCAACGGCTCCAGGTGCACAAGCAGGGGGGATCCCGACAAGAGACCGTATATCAGGGATCCTCAATATCACTTACATCCTACCTGGTCCTACCTATCTTCATCCCACCTCTAAGGTTCGAAGGCAGCCTTTTTGGGTTGCCAAGTCTCATACGCGTGAGTCGTGGAGATGGGCAACGTATCTTACCCAAACTCCCTTTCGCTGACATGTCTGGGGGTCGCAGTCAGTGCAAACAGTGGAACGATGCGCCATCAGGCGTCTACAGATAGTGTGTGATGTATCAGAACCACACTCCTCCCGACCTGCAACGAACCCCATCTGCAGGTCAAGACACGAGCTACATCGCGACTCTGCCCACTGAACCTACCTCCACTTCTGGTGCAGACATCTTTCATGCCAGCAACCGGGAGGTGAGCGGGCGCGCAAAACTGCTGAGTTCCTGTCCTACTCAGATCAGACGTATTTTACTCTGCCAGGCCATCGCATCTGCAGCATCGGCCTCACACAGTCCGTGCAGGTTTAAGGAAAAAGCCCCAGCTACCATATTGCCATGTAAAGTTAAAGACTTCTTCGCTGACCCCCAAATCCCCTAACACCGATGCAGAATACTTGTCACATGCCGGGGCTCCCACTAGGATCAGCATGATACACAGGGGAATTAGCGATTGTAGTAGAGTCGAGAACTGTTGGGTAGGTTGCCTACGCATCCTTGGCAGCTGGGCTCCTCTTACAGGGTGTAGGCCGTGTGGGCCGGAATAATGTTCACGGCCTTGTCGCAGTACATGTGGGTTTCCGAAAATAGGGGACCCTCGTATAGTACCCCCTAAATAGTAGGATCCTTATTATAAGGACCCCCAAAATAAATACCCCTCATTTTCGGACATGTGTGCGTACAAGGGCGCTCAGGGAAGAGGGGTTGATCGGCTTCAGACCTATACCCTAAACCCGACTGTTGGACCGGACCGAAGTCACAGTTACATAGTTACACAGTAGTTACACATGCACCTATGATACGCCTGCAGCCCAGCAAAAGATGTGGCAGCATCCGTTTCTTTTCTCCGAGACTGCAGCCACATTGGAGATCAGGGCTTTTCGCTGGCTGGTTCCGAATCGCAAATGCGCTTGAGGCAGAAACCCCAAACCCTCATTGTAGAACCCTTCGTAAAGGAACCCTCATGAGATCTAGGCTCTCCAATTTTTGAAAGCAGCTCTGAAACTCCGGACACTTACCGTCAAACCCCGGCCCTTTAAGCCCTGAGCTCAAATCTTAACTCTGGGTTTAGGGCTTCCGGTGTGCCTGTAGCCCAACAACATCTTGATTTGTATGGAGCTTCATAGCGAAACCATAATAAGGACAAAAGGTAGGGTTCCAGTAGGGTTGACGGAATCTCACTCATCCCAGCAAGTCCGACTCTCGCCTTTGAGGCCTTTAGCGTCCTCCGGTCTGCTCCATGGCCACATCCTCAGCAACAGGGCATCCCTAAAGCAAAGCCCGAAACCCTGGACCCTAAGCCCAAAACCCTGAACCTTCAACCAAAAACCCTAATCCCTCAACCCTGAACCCTAAACCCTGAACCCTACTCCCTAAGCCCTCAACCCTAAACCCTGAACATCCCTGAACCCTAAGCCCTGAATCCTGAACCTTATAAAGCCCAAACGCTCAACCCCAAACCACGAAAGCACAGGCCTGACTTGTCACCCCGAACCCCCGGGCACAGGTTAGTGCCTGAGGATTAAAACACCTACTACTCATGTACTCTCCCAACTACTAAACGACATGTGTTATACTACCCTAGACCCACTAGGTTCTCCAGTAACCCCTTAGTAATAAGGGTGCCCTTTTTCCTACTATTTGGTTTTAATAAGTAAGGAGACCCCAAACCGAAAAGGGCAAAAGGGTGCTACTGGGCAACCTAGACCCAAGTACCTGACTACTAACTTTGGACCAAATACTAACCCAGATTGAAGCCCGCGGCTGCCACACTAAACTTGGGTTCAACACAATAACGAATCTGAAAGGAGTTGGGAACCCGAAGCCCTGAAACCTAAATCATAAGGGCTGTGCGGCTATGAGCTCTCTTCGCCGAGAGCAGACAGGAACTAGGGGGAACCAGGAGCTCCCTCACAGTCACACTGTGGCCAGGTTCAGCTTGGGTTTTGGGTGTAGTGTAGAGTATTACTGCTGCTACCGAAAAGCCTAGAACTCTATAAACTCGATACGCCGCAAATCGTAAACTTCATGAAGCCTCGCCCAAATGTGTTTCGATTTAAACCCTAAGCCCTAAACACTAAGCCCTAAACCCTAAACCCTAAATCGTAAAACTTACAGTTCAAATCGCCAAACACTAAACCTTTCTGGGGCCGTGGCAATCAGGTCTTCATCCTGCTCGTTGCAGTTGGCATTGTCGGCAAAAAAAGGGGGCCTTAATAATTAGAAGAGGAGTTCCTTCAAAGAGATACCATAGAGGTTACTATAAGGGCTCTATAATCTAGGGGCCTTAATAATTAGAGCAGGATTTGGGGGCCCATAATACTATAATTATAAGAAGGAACCCCGCAAATAGTGTGGGCTTTTAACTTAGGCCCCTACATTAGGCCACTTCGTAAGCCTATTGCAGCAGCACTGAAGTTATATGGCTCCGATTCTTCTGTTCATCACTACTAGCACGATAATTGCTACTACGGCTATTATCATCCATATTGCAATCAGTAGAAAGGTGCGATTAACGGTTGGTACTGCAAGGTACTGCTCATGTTGTATAAGTTGTATGAACCCCATGAGGAACACTATTCACTATTCGCTTGAGTGAGAACACTCGGCGGTTGTTGATCGTTCGTATCGTTTTCTTCCATGCTGCCATTGCCTACCACGTTGATAGGGGCAGTAGGACAGTATCACGGCGGGCCCAGTAGCTCAGTAGCCACGTTGCTACAGTTCTAAACCCAAAACCGACCCAACACAGCTCTACGCGTACCGGCTAGACCCTGAAGGCCCAAATCCCTACACCCATAACCATCTACATGACTAGGCCCATGACTTCAGAGATCTCAAAACCGATGCCATAGTCGCTTTCATGTTCTAATCATGTACCCATTATGACTTCCAAGCCTCCGAAAACAGTCCAAAAACGGAACTGAAAATCCTAGCAGCCTGAGCCCCTGAATCCCAAAGCCACCATGTCCCTAAACCTTACCCTTACCCTCCAGGTACTTACTATAGAGGATACTAGAGCCCGTAGGGCCCTACATAGTAGGTACCTGGAGGGCTAGGGTTACATCCTCTAACAAGGCCCCCCACCATCGCCGTAACTCGGATCTTTTGTGCCTCCAGCCCGAGCTTCTCCGCCGTGTCGTCGGCGGCAATGCGCTCGCCATCCACCATGAAACGCACTTGGGAGGCCTCTTGCAGCTCTTGTTGTGTATACAGTAGAAGCCCAAAAGTTGGAAACCCAATAGCCTCAATCCTTAAGATTAAGAGTAATGTATAGGGAATCCCAGCACTATTTGTCCTTAATCCGGTTTCCAACTTTGCGGGGTTTACTATATACGGTTAGATGCTTAGGGTTTCGAGTTTAGCTTAAGCGCTTAGGGAGTCAGGGGTCTCAGTTTGGGAGGTCATTGGCCATGGGTGTGTGGTATTGGGGGTGTGGTATAGGGTTGAGGGTTGAAGTGTTTCAGGAACTATACTGTAGGTGTATGGATTCGAGATGCTCGGTTCAGGGCTCGCAGATAGAGGTTTCAGGATTTAGGGCTTGTGCTGATTGGGATGCACAGAAACAGTGCGCAGCTTTGTTGGTCCAGCCTTGGAAGCATCTGCATAAAAGTTGAGGACTGCTTCAGGCGGTGGCATATGAGGTTCGGTATCTGAGTGCCGTTTGATCTCGCGAGTTGTGCCATGGACCGAGGTTGAGCATTTATTTGGCCAGCAAGGCTATCGCATGAGACCTTGGAGCGGGGTGACGGAGCCATCAGAGCTTCGCAATACTCTGCGATTTACGACCCCAGACGGAACACAAACAGCAGTTAACGCGAAACCCCTAGAGCCTGAGCCTGAAACCCCTAAGCGCTAATATGGGGGGCCTTAATAATTAGAATAGGCTTTTGGGGCCCATTATCCTATAATTGTAGCAAGCACGCCCCCAACAAAAATTAGTAGTGGTAATTATTGGGACCCCTACATTACCGTAAGGCTCATGGACCCCCATAGTGAAAGCCCAAACCTTAGCCCCCAAAGCCCAAACCTTCCCCTAGAAAGCCCATAACAGCAATAAGAGCCTTAGGGTAAGCCCTAAACCCTTCACCAACCCTAAAACCCTAAACCCTA